GAAATAACATTGACTTTGACAATGAGAGTCGTTTGTGAGCGCAAAGATTGAACACTTGATGTAAATTTGCCACGACTGCAATCCGGAGTGATGACATAATGTATATTCATTAAAGCGTACGTTCCCACCAAATGAACATATAATAATACATATGTTCTTCCCTGTGTGGCTCTATTGAGACGAGAGAACACATTCATTAGACGTGATTTCAGTTACAGCATCTGCTTGTCAACTGTGATAAAATAGCCCCATTTTGCAAACATCCCTAATCATTCTTTCCCTGTGCTAGATTCGAACTTTATTTTTCTTGTCGAATCCGCCTTGTGTATGCATACTTTGTCTTGCTGGTGCCAGGAGTACTCAGTGACTTAATTACAAAGAGTGATGTACTGACAGGCAGTTTGGAGTTAGTTGAGCCACAGCTGAGGAACATAATGGGAATTTCACATAAAAAAGAAGAAGAAAGACAGCGCCGTGGGAACAGATGGTCTGGTTTGAATATTGCTCTTTAGTGGCTCCCATATTAACCCAAGTTATAACAATAAAGCCGGCGAGAAGAATGGGCCTGCGCCGCCTGCCGACTGACCCTTAAGGATGTGGCTATAACGACCACAAGAAATCAATACATGCTTTTACAATGTGTGCACCTCCTCTCCTGTGTTGTGTGTGTTTGGGGTAATGTCGGGGGCCCCCAGCTGGACCGGAGACTGTTTATATTATTGTCGATGAAAGAGTGGTCCCCAAGGAGTCTCTGTAATGTGCAAGGAGGCCTCTCTGACTGCTATTAAACTCCTATATGTGTGTGTGCATGTGTGTGTGTTGGTAAAGAGCGCACAATAGCACAGCATAATTGTCAAGGGAAGGACACACTTTTAACATAATAAAATGAAGCTAATACATATGTGGGGGAGGCGCGTGAAAGGATGAAAGCCTGTCCTGCTCATAAAGACCGCCCGGAACAAAGAAAGCGTGTCCCAGGACGCAGGGGGCCGCCAGCTGAGCCGGGGTGACCAGTAACAGCAGGTACTGTCAAGTGCAGCCTACTGGCCTCGACACGGAGCCGTACTACACACATGCATGAGAGAACATCTTGTCAAAGCTCTGTGGGTGGGGATCGACTTGTTTTCACGAGCACTGCCGGCACAGACTACATGTTTAGAGACAATTTAAAGTTGATGTCAGTAACTTCAACTGTATTGCATCATTGATCGTATGACCATGTGGTATTATCAAGTAAAGTGGGTCTTTTTCAAAAGTTATGTATTTACTTTTAGTTTTTTATCTTGGTTTAACCACTACCAGTAGGATTTGATAAAGGAGAATGGTTAGACCAATGTCAAGGGGCCTTGTCTGTGTGTCACGGATTTAAATTAAATTAATTTTGGCCAATCAGGAAGCAGTGGGGATGAGAACGGATAATATATCCTTGATCTTATGCCACTGATGAATTAGAAGAGAGGAAGATAACCTATATTTTTGTGGCACGCATACTTGCATGTATGTACGCACACACACAGATACAGAGAGGCAAAAAAACCTCCAAAGTAGATCATTGTGAACAAAAGTTCAAAACGTTTAGTATAGGTTTCAAAAGTAGCCAGCTGAACAATGTTTTTAGCCTACAATTGTTTAGAATTCTATTACTTTTGAACCTTTTTCTGTCTATCATTGATCACTGGAGGGCTGACTAGTTTGATGGCAGAGGTTTGGTGTTGTTCACCTCATTCCCTGCCCATCTTTACTTGAGAATGCTAAAACAGCTCTTCACAGAACCTCATTCCTTTCTATTTCGAAATAGAGAACGTTTTGCGCTCTGAAGGTGAATTTAAAGGTGTTTGATTTGGTTAAAATGTCTCTTGTGAGCCGACAATTCAACACGCTCCCACTTCTCTTGGCAGCATTAAATTGTGGCCAGTTTAGAATGTAATTGTTTTAAAAGTATTACAGCTAAGTGTAGATTAATCTGATGTCTGTGTAGGCTTGTAATTAATGATTTTTGTGGCCAATTATTTTTTAGATTAATAGATAAGCTAGTTAGATTTCACCAGGAATAGGAATATGACATTTTTCATTTGACCAAAACAAGGCTTAAGTGATGCCCCTGGTGAACATCTTCACTGAGATGACGTGTTACCCATTGGATTGTTTTATTGAAAATACTTTGTAAACACAAGTATATTTCCTTCTGCTGTTTAAAGCATTTTGTTTAGGCAAGGCAAGGCAAGTTTATTTCTATAGCACAATTCATACACAAGGCAATTCAAAGTGCTGAACAAAACAAGAAAGCATTAAATCATAAATAATCACAGAACATTAAAAAGGAATATAAAAATATAAAATCCCTCAGTTGTATGCACAGCTAAACAGAACCGTTTTTAACCTGGTTTTAAACATGGTCAGAGAGGAGGCCTGTCTCACAAAACCTTTTGTTTCATGAATACATTTTGTTTGTCCCAACTTGAAAAGTCTCGTTTAAGCAAAATGTTGTGAACAAATCAGGTCACAACATGTTGTCTTCATCTCATTAGAAATCTTTTCCACACTGAAAGCTGATTAGTACTATTTTTTTCATCAAAAAAACTGATCCAAAGATGTGACAGAGGCCAAAAATACATGCATGTGAAAACTAGTGATAGAACTAAACTGTTTTAAGAGTGAGTAACAAGTTTCAGACTTGGATTTGTATCATTAGTATTAATTATTATTTTTTATTTTTTTCCACGATTGTTCATTTGGTTGGAATAGTGCAAGTTAATGAACACACCTCTGGATTGTAGCTTTGGATTATTTTGCATCGGATGTCTCATTCACCAGGAACTATTGTACACGTTTTTAGTGGTAGGAGAAATCAGAGCATCTGGAGGAAACCGATACAGACACAAGAAGAACATGCAAACCCACTACCTTCTTGCTGTGAAGCACAAGCGCTAACCACTGTGCCCCCGCCCAGACTACACACTGCAGTTACTTTCTTTGTGGTTTAAATGTGAGATACTCCGGCTTTAAGTGAAAATGTGTAGAAGAAGAGGAAGGGCCGCCAAAGACGTCATTTTTGCTACATACATGGTAAAACCCCAAGACTGGAAGTCCAAGTCCTGGACTGGTCTGGTCCAGACTCCCACTTCTCTGAAAGAACAAAAGAGACACAAACTCCAAGGCTCCGCACTGAACTCTGTAAACTCCTTGACTTCAGGTTAATATGAAAACACATCATGTATAAACACTTTGATATAAAACAATTTTCTCATGTTGGCACATGAATGAAAACATGATTGTGTTTCTTGTATTGACGTGTGCTGTATTTGAAATCTACAACACCCCACATTCTACTTTTTAAAGTATTAAGCACGTACCATGATGTTTATTTGTTTAGCACATTTTACAGACCTCCCTCTAAGTTCAGATTGTTTTTCCATTCCCTCCACACGGTTATTACTGGCACATCCAAGCCCCCAACCAACACCATCCATTCACTCACTCATTACATTCATACCTATCGCACATTTTTTGAGTGGCAGGGGAAACCAGAGCGCCCAGTGGAAAACCAATGCAGACGTAGGGAAAACATCCAAACTCCACACAGAAAGGCCTGGAGGCGGAATCAAACCTAGGACCTTAACTGCCCACCGCTTACACCACACACAACACCCATGCCCACCAGCGAGGCGATGCAGCAGGGTTTATGTCCTCTATGCGTGCCTCTTTTATTTAAGGCTTAATCGGGACATTAGCAAGCTGTAAAGGGCTGCAGTTCGTGTCCCCGCGTATCTTCACCTCTCTGCGTGCTGCCTAACCTGCTATTTGGCGGCAGAAGTCATTGGTATTGCCATATGGTGTCCCATTAGAGCCCTCTGAAGCCAGCCATGCAGAAGTGCCTCGCCGCGTGGATATGTGTGTGAGCGAAAGCAAATAACGGCGGGTGTGATAGAGCTGCTGTTTAAACACTCAAGCGCGATTGTGTGGAAACATGGACGCACTTTGCTTTGGGCCGAGCCTTATCAAATTCAATCCCTGGCTTCTTCTGCTGTGGCTTTTGTCTGGAGTGTCCGTCTTGTTTGTACCTTTTGTTTTCAAGGTTTGAAAAATGTAAGTTAGGGTACCAAAGTTGTTTTTTTCACGCCATGTCCCCATAATGATACATTGTTTTTATTTACAGTAACTCAAACCTTTTCCACTTTGTTATGTTTTCATTCCTGCTAATGGTTTGTACCAACAGAAAAGGGCTGTCTTTTTATTTTTTAGGAAGCAATTTTTTATTTTGAATTTGCATGCTTTGGGTTGAGCTGATTGGTAAGTAAGGTTTGTGTTTTTTCTCTTTTCTCTCTGAAAAAGCTGATCTAATGATGTGACAGAGGCCAAAAAACATTCCAGTGAAAACTAGCTTGGAACTAGTTATTTATTATCATACCGTACTTCTCGGGTGTTTGAGCGCATGCACCTGTTATTTTCTGCACTAGTTACATTGCGCAGCAGGTCATGAACCTCCAGGGGGCGCACACACAGAAGACCTTAGAATAGACGCTTCGCTAAATAAACCACAGATGAAGTGTTGCTAAAGTAGCGCCTAACAACCCGAGTAATTACTGCAGTTCATTTGTTTGGGGTTTAAAAGTTAGGTTGTCCAGTTTTATAAAAGTATTGATATTTTCAAGTTTTTTTTTCCTTTTTGTTTCTCAGAATTCTTATTATTGCCATTGTAAGTAACAGGAAGTCACAAACTAGGAATTTGCTGTGGTATGTGGCACTTACAAGTTATGAAAAAAATAAAAAAGATTGATAAAAAGGCATGCATAAAACATCTTAATACAATTCTAATATATGAATACACACAATATACATTTAAGATTGCAGAGTCAATGCGAGTCCAGAGGTATGAGATTTTAAAGTGGTAGAAGTACAAATTTCCATGTGTGCTCAGAACAGAAAATGGTTTGGAACTTACAAACAGGGCTATTTTTGGAAAAGTCTGAAGTAGGAACATGTCGTAATATCTGGTGGTTATGCCGCTGGCACAATTTAAACAGAACGTGCAGCATTGAAATTGATAAATGAGACTTGTCACTATAGCAATGTCAGAAAACCAAAAGGCTCTCACTATATCAACCAACTATTCAGTAAATAAACAACATTTTTGTGTAGCCCCCACCCCCATCCCCACCCAATAATGAGTTTATTAGCACTAAGGAAGACTGATATCTCTTGTATTAATCTATCAATGATTATGTGATTCGTTTATTTGTATAACACAAATCATACACAGCTCTCACGCAACATTCAAAATCTTTCAAGACAAAAAAAAGAAAAAACCTTAATCACAATACATTAAGTAAGTATTATTTATATAGCGCCTTTCACAAAGACAGTTTTGACCTTTCACAAAGCGCTTTACAGTGCATAAAAAGAGTGTAGATACCTTTTTATTTATGCGAAAGAGAACTGTTTTTAACCAATAGACATTATTTGGTGTTTTATTATGTGATTACAGGCACGGAAGCCTTTGAGTTTGTGTATCAGTAACATAAAATAGCTTCCGTCTGCAGATTTCTAAACTTTAAAATGTAATAGAAGGCATTTGCGCACACATTACTTTCAGCTAAAAAGTAATAATCGTATTGTGTCTTATGACAAAAACTATTCTCAAATGTTCTTTATAGTCATATTAAAGTCAACAGTATGTATTGATTTGCTTGTTCTTGCCTCCTCTGTCTCTCACCTGCTCCATGTCTGTCCCTGATGCATGTGTTAATATATTTAGCAGTGCCATATCATACGCTGCGCTGACTCCCATTAACTATCTCAGCGTGAGGCTACAGTGACTGAATGATAATAAAGCCAACACACATGCACACACACTCACACACACAAACACATACACACGCATACACGCTCATATATTACTGATTACACTTTACTTCATTATGATGAAAGCCGCTCGTTTCAAAATATATCCTCTTAACCCCTCTATCCCGTTATCACATTCGTCATTTAGCAAGCCCAAGCTATTATTTATATTCTAATCAGGAATCAACCTCCTATAAAGACAATGGAAAATCATTCTCTCTGAGGCTTTAGCACGAGGGAATTGGCTCATAAATTAAGTCCCTTCTGGTGATGCATAATATTTGGGGCACATGTGTGGTGTACGCTACTGTTACTAAAGATTGTAATGAAATTGTAATTGGCACTATTTGCGGTTTCCCTTGGGTTATGAGAATTCAGAGTTGTCTAGTCAAACTTCTTCAAGGCAAAATGACTGTATATAGAAGATAGATAAATCATGCTATTAGCTGGTGAACTTTCATTCAACCAGGAAAGTACCTCTAAGAATATTGTGGGAAAAAACTCACACAATAAGTAAGCTCCATTAAAAACGTATGCTGCCTTTCATGTCCTAGTGAAGATTCTGTACTTCTACTCATATAAAATAGCAGGACAGTGTGTTGTCATTGTTGCAAGCTGCAGTAGCCCTTGACACGGACATAGGTTTGCCTAAAAATAGAGTTGTCACAGAACAGATGGCGAGAAAAGAAAGGTGTTGTTCTCTGTCAGGTGTGTTCAGATTTCTTAATGAAAAGGACTTGAATGAATTTGAAATTTACCATTTCTTTCTCCAACTATTTAATCCAAATCGGCGCTGTGCAAAAAATGGAAATATCAGAAGGACTGTTTTATATATTTGTATTACTAAAAATACATAGTATACTGTAGATGATACTAGGTCCGTGTACTTTTACGTTCAATACATTTTCTATTTTTGAAGGGAAATGGAAAATCAAAAAAAGGCTATTTTACACTTTCAGGCACATGGCAATATACAAAAATGACCATTTTGGTTTCATAAGAAAATACAATTGATGTTGCAGACACCTCTAAATGTATGTCATATTTTAATCATCTAAAACAAAAAATCTAAATTCTGATTCCAGTTACAGATACATACATACATACTGGTAGCATGGTTCTATATCTGGTGCAGAAATGTGTTTAGTGTAACTGCACATTGTCCTTTTTAACCCAAACTCAAACTCAAATTCATCCATCCAACCGATTTTCTACACTTTTCTTCTCGGGGCAAAAGCACGTCTCTAGTCAGCTACCCAAAACACAACCCCTATGACGCGCAAGTCTTGCCCTAGTTTCTTATTTTTAGATCAAATTTAGAAATTGATTGGCTTGGTTGTTCTGTTGTGGCCTACATGGTCATTCAACCTGGTAATTGATGGTAACCCAACACTTGCAGTTGTGCATTGTACGTCATGAAACGTACACCCCGCATCCACAGGCCGTAACACAAGCCGCAAGTACACAAACGCTCATGTTACTCCTCACTCTGAACGCCGCATTTGAGCCGGCGCTGTCAATTTTATGTGTGCGGATTTGGACAAATTAGCAGTGTGCCGCGATAGTCCATGCTCGGTGCGTGAAATGACTCAATAGAGGATTTGAAGAGCACTTGAGGGCTTTAGACTCGAGTCGTAAAAAGGAAGCCACTGACATTTTGTTGCTGCACCTGTCTTTTCAATGAGACAAATGCAAGGCTGGAGAATGTCAGATATGCATGTTTTAAAGCAGCTCCTTGTGTCTTTTTCCGCATAGGTCACCGTGTTGGAGCGACAGGTGATCGACTTCTTGGGATATCAGTGGGCGCCCATCCTTACCAACTTCCTGCACGTCATCGTCATCATCCTAGGCCTTTTCGGAACCATCCAGTTCAGACCCAGATACGTCACTGGGGTAAGTTTTTTGACGTGTTTGCATTAGACTTTTGGGGTAAGTCTAATGTTGCTGATATGACAGAAGTATAGTATAAGATAAGGGCTCGCAGGCCTCACCGCAGCCAAGTAAATCATAGCGCAGAGGTGGAATAGTAATGATGTGTCATTCACTCACTAGGTTCATTGTTATATGGACATTGCCTACACATTGTTGTGTGGAGGCAATGTGTGTCCGTCTTCGGCGAGGATCAACAATGCATCATCCAACACAAGTGACTTATGGACAATGCTGTAACACCCCTCACCACACACTTTATACACTTTTTTAACCACCAGAACGCACTAAAACTGAAGATATATTAATATATTTGGAATTATAAAACCTGTTTGTTAAAGGTATGAGCGTTACTGCAGCTGTCAAAAGCCGGGCATATAGAATACAGCTGCAGAGCACCCTGCGCTGAGGGGCAGGAGCAGGATTGAGGGATACAAGAAGAAAGCTGTATATTCCTCTGAACTAATCACACTGGTGCTCACAAGCCACAAAAGAGTTCTCCTGATTCTAAATAAAATAAAAGGTCATGTTCTACTAGCGGTTTTATGATGTTGTTTATGATGTTGTTGGAGTTAACACGCGGCTTGAGCTGTTGGCCACTGTAGCCGAGTGTAAACAGGAAGAGAAACTTAACTTGGATCCCGAGGTAGTCGCTGAAGTTAGGTTTAGCGCCACCAGCTGGACTGAGCGTTGTAATACCGCAGACAGTCTTCACACCGCTGTGCAACAATCCGGGCTACTTGGCCTAGTTTGTTTGTAAAAACGAACCCGTGCCCTTAAATTCCTTCATAGTCTCAGGCCATGATCACACTTATTTACTTTCAAAAGATGCGAACTGACTAAAATGTGCCTACTGGACCAGTGTGCACTTTTTTGGTGTTTTCAGATCTCCAGAAATTAAACTTAAAGAGGTCACTTAAATGGGAGTGTGTAAATGTGGCCTAGAACTGGGAAAACCGACTCAAACTTCAATGTAAGTCCAGGACAAAGAAAGCGCTGTAAACCAATAAGCTGACCTCAGAGCAGTGAAAGTAGGAGTGCTGGGTCGGTGGGAGCGGGTGACGTGCATTTCATGTATGGTAGGCGTTTTCCTTTTTTTATTGGCAATCCTGAGTTCTATTGTATGAGAGATGAAAAACATTTAGTAAGTAATCTTTATTTATATAGCGCATTTTTACAGACCAAGGTCACCCAGAGCGCTCTACAAGGTTCAATTAATTCATTTAAAAAATGTACAATGAACAATATTAGATAAAAAAAGGTAAACACCCTTAAACATGCTTGAAAAAAGTGAATGTACAACGTTCTAAAATCTACTTAGGCTGTATCTCCCTAATTAATTGGATTAGACAGTGAATAGACACGGATTTCATTTGGATAATGTGTCTTCTCTACGGTGGCCCCGCTGTGAGGAGCTCAAACCTACAGTTCATGTGGAGTTTACACTTTAAAAATGTATTAACAAATAAATGTATTTATGAAACTAACACGTATGCTCTTAGCCTTTGTACTACAACGAGATTCCAACAGAAACATCACCAGTCTGATCTTTTGGAGATCAAAGAATAGGAAGTCTGTTCCGCTCAGAAACCAGAAACTGTTTCACAAAACTTTGATACATCTTTTGTTTTACCAGAGCTCATTGAAATATCAAAATATTCTACATCTCCCTCTCGTGGTACCAGAGGAATAGGGCAGGTCAACATTAGAATTTACCCTGGATAAACAAATATTTATACTGCAGATTCAATTTAACATACTAAAACATGAATTGACAAAGTAAAGAGACTAATAATAATAATCATAATTTTAAATGGACAAAAATAATGCATGATATTTCTTCTTTAATTCTTCTAGGGAGTGTTTGGCAAACTGGGTTATAACTCCTCTAATGTAAGACAGAAATTATACATTTTTAAAGCTGAAATGAAAATAATAAAATGTCTTAATATTAAATACATGTGCTATACTTTATTACTTTTAGAATGTGCTTGTTTTTAAATGTTCTTTCACTATTGGTGTGTCAATTGTTTTACTTATTTGTTATGTTACCTATTGTGCGGACTGCGCGGCTATTCCAATGTGGTTTTTAACTGCAGATCAGATTTTAATAGTTTTTTTTTTTTCAGTAGACAGGCTGAAAAAACTAAGTGCTAAGTGCCAAATGCAGGAGCAAGTGCTAAACTTCTTAAACGTTGCATATTTAAGCCAAACAGTAAGAGGAGGGAAAACACATGCTGCCTGTCTCTGGAAGAACTCTTCATCTTCCTCATATTTTGACAGCTCCTCATCAGTGTATCTTGGTTTTAATGTCCATACTCAAAATTGTAAAAAAATTCCATTATTTTCATTTTTGACAAAGCCCTGCCCAAGGTATTATTTAGACAACACGAGAACTCAGAATCAAATTTATTTTATTGCAATGTGAGCAGGGGTGAGGGCGACAGTAGCTCAGTTGGTAGAGCATTGGCCTTAAGGCCTGAAGGTCGTGGGTTCAATTCCCACCTCTGCACCTTCTCCACTGACTCCCACTGATGACTGCTGTCGTTGTGTCCTTGGGCAAGACACTTAACCCCACTTTGCCCAAAGCCCCCGCTGAAAAGATCAAGGCTATGCTCACGCTCAGAGAGCAGCCGTCCTCCTGTGGACTCACCACCTGCAGAGGGTCAGTGAGGGGCTGGTGCTATGAGACTTGGGTGGCATCTCTGATTGCCACCCCCCTGACCCAGAAATGGATTAAAGGGTAGAAAATGGATGGATGGCAATGTGAGCAACAAGATACATACATAAAATTACTAGTGCACTAACTCCAACTCTCTAATTTGACCAATCTTTAAACCAATTACTCTTTCTCTTACTTTAGATTACACAAAACATTAGATCACCGCTAGTCATGGCTTTGATAAAATGATGCGATGGCACATAAACAAAACCTTCTCCCACACCACCTCCCTGTGACTCAGAGCTGAAGGAGTTATGTCGAAGATCAAAGCACGCTCTGTGTCCAACTCCGCTCCAACGACACGCTCGAAAAGTAAAATAGAGGCAAACACATTGGATATACATTGTGTTTTGTCTCTCTTTTGACTTTACATTTTTGTCACATCAATCCAATGTTTCACGTTCGCTGATACGGAACGATAAAAAACACTTTATACTGTGTCTTTGCCTGCTGCTGCTGTTGTGCTGCTTGGTTCTCCTCTTCGCAGAATGTGGAGTGAGGTTTTTTTTTGTGAGCAGCAAAAGCAGAAGCTCGGGCCATTGTGACTGCTGTGAATAAATTCTGAGCTTGCGCCGGAGAAGAGACAGAATGTGTGCATATTACATTAGCCTGGCTTTTGACTGGTCATGGTTATATAGGAAAGTGGCACAGAGAAACAGAATAAATCTATCGTTGAAAGAACACCACTTTTGCGGCTGACTGTGGAATTTCAGACACGATATCGGCTAATTAACCCGGACAGAATTATTGTCGGAATAATGACAGGCCATTATAAAGGGCTGGGGTTTGTTTGGGACAATTGGGAATTAACTGGTCGGCACAAATAACGTTTTCGTTCTGTAATGAATGTGCGCTGTCATCTTGTTAATGTAAACCGTGGCTGCAACATTAAAAAAGCTTGCAAGAAGTGTACCGCTTTGGCATGGACATAGTGGGGTTATAATATGATTTTTTTTTTCATATTCTCTGCCTTTGATGCCTGAAAGTGAGGCTCTCTTCACCGCAGCAGGGGTCCGTGAACTGGTGTCTCTTGTGCATGACTTATACTATAATAAGTTTCAAAGTGTAATATACTCAGTCATAGAAGCTTTACTTGGACTGGAAATGTGTGTTGGCTGTAGGCAGGGAAAGGGTTTCTCCCATTGGTTGAAAAAAAAAAAACTCCATGCAACAGGGCTGTCTTTGCATGTAATAAAAATTCCGCTACAACTTGATGATAATTTAAAGGAGCAGTCTATAAAAATCTGGCCAAAAGTCGTACTGCAACGTCTCCCACTCTCCCTGACTCAGGTTGCCAGATATGCAGACGAATCCAGCTGGGACCATAATAATAATAATAACTGAATAGACAAGAGTTTAGTCAACAACATATCTATAACAATTCACACAGGACCCAATAGAAATCCTTGTTTTGTCATTCATGAATTGAAAATAATAAGAAGACCTTTTTTAGTTCTGCGGCCACATGTTACTAGTGAGATTAGAGTTCTGGCAACCGGGATCACAGGCTTTCTGATTGGTAAAACGGTGGAGGGCGGGGCATCAAAATGAAAACAATAAGAAGATTTAGGGGCTGTAAAACTAATTTATCTTTAAAATATCTCGGCTGACCTACTGTTTAGTTTAGGAGGTATTTGAAAAGAGCATGGTTTATCAATACCTTTTGACAGATTAGGGACAATTAATGATGATTTGACACGAAATTCTTACATATTGCTACTTTATGGCATGTTTCTTTTAAATCAAGAATTAAAAAAAACATTTAAAGTACCAACACGCTATAGTCTGAGGAACTCTTCTTGGGACAAATAACAGCTTCAGTCTGTTCCTTCACTGTTCTTCGTCCTGACAGCAGCAGCAGTAGCACACTCTCACTGCTGAGAGGATGTCCTGGGTCCGTGATGATGAGTGTGGTTCGTCTCATGGCTGCCTCTTCATAAATGCTCTGAATTGGTTTGTAATGTTTCGGTCCAATTATCTTCATGGCCGTTTTGTGGATGTGGGCAAGCTTGTTTTTAAGTTGGACTGTAAGAGTCCCAAATCAGGCTGTCAGTCCATAACTGTGCTCTCCAATAATAATAATAAAAACATGTGCAATAGTTCAGAATGAGTGAGTGTGACTGTGGGACAATGGATGGAAATCAGCCCAAGACTACCATCTGGAGTACAATCATGCACTGTCCCAACCAAATAAACATATAGGGTTAGGATTTCCAGAAAATTCACTGTTTGGACAAAAAGGTGGAGCCCTGAAACTCTCTAATAGATAGAGGGGTATTCAATAATTAAATACAAATGTAGGGAAATGTTTGGTGGAAGTCAAGCCGCTGTACAGAAAGTGCCCTGGATTCGAGTTCTACTCCTTTGGCGCCAAAAGGGTTAAGATCCCTGAAAACTTTGCCTGCAAATGTGAGATCCGCTCTAACGGGAATGGCACATTGGGCTAGCAAACTCTGCTCATTTATTTTTTTTATAAAGTTTTATAAATGAGACTCCTGAACTGTAACTTGGCTGCTTGTCATTAAATTTGCAAAATGTCTAAATGTAACACTAAAAACATCACATATAAAAATAAAAATATGATTAGCGTCGAAGTTGGTTTTCAAACATTTTGACATTATCAAATTACCCATAATTGTATTTTCACAGTGTGCACCCATTTTATATCTTTCATTACCCTCAAGCGACGACAAGGAAGTCAGATCATATTTCAGTCTTTAAGAGATAAAATCAACTCAGAGAGAAGTACAGCTCTATTTATTCCATCGTTTATTTATAATGGATCAAATGGAAATCTCCCAACAAAAAAAACTATAGTAGACACAATAAAATACATTGTACAAACATACATAAATGATGGGTACAATAAAGAAACAATAAAGTTTAGCCCAAGGTAATGATCAATACTGCACTGGGACATTATGGTTAAAGATAGGGTCTAGCTCTATTCATGATACATGAGGTGTTTAGAAAACAGCTTTTGCATTACTGACCAAAAGAGCCCTGTGAGTCACTATTTGACGCTTTAGGCTGAGAGCTGATGTTTTGAGTAGTGGACATTTTTTGAGGGTGGTCCTCTCTTCTCATTTTTATGTCTAAAAAAGCTGATCATATGACAGATAAGTACCTCAGATTTAATCAACACCTCCGCAACACACACACACACACACACACACACACACACACACACACACTATATGTAGACACAGAGTCAATTCTGCTCCTGATGTTTTTTGGTGAAAGTACAGATAAAATGGCGAGAGTGTAATCATTTAACATGTATTTGTCCCCGCAGGGAGATATCTTCTCTGCATTTGAATCCTGCTCCTAATGCCACTAAGAAAAGCTGTCAGGAGCAGTAGGTGCTGTGTGCAGCGCCTAAGGATCCATCTCCAGATGTTGAGGCTCGGCTTGACTACATTTGCTTCAGATTTTTTTTCCGATTGTTCATGTTTTGGGGTGATGGTGGAAACAGGAGCGCCTGGAGGACACTTTACAAACTCCACACAGAAAGGTCCAGAGTTTGAGCAGTGCTCTATCTTTTAATACAAGACAAGTATTGCCCATCAATTGAGTTTTGGCCATTTCTCTTCTGTAATTTAAAATTAAGTTTGTTACAATCACATGGCTGTGTTTGTAGCTGGTAATTTTCAATTTTGAAAAATCAAACAAAACAAATGCAACCTCTAGTGGTAGCAAAACAAGTAACAGATAAATAGGCCCTGTCCCAATACTCGCACTTCCACCCTCGCGCCCCTCATTTGCGCGTTCCCGATGATGGGTGCGAGTGCATAGTGTGTCCCAATTCTCCAGGGAGGTTTGTCGCCTCGCCCCGCCCCGTTTGCGCCCCTGATCCACACGCCGTAGTCTGTATCTAAGTGGACTCTGGCGAAGGATATTGCCCTTAATTCTTTGCGGTACACACCAAAACGTCGGGAAAATGCATTTAAGTGTAAGTTTTGAAATATATTAGCTTTATGTGTGTAAATAAGTGTTGCTATGTTACTAAGAAAGAAGCATAAATGTCTGATGAAGAATTTCATAACTTTTTTAAAGCAAGCATTCATAAAACCTTCAATTTAAACTTTACGCTTTGTACAATAAACTTAGGATGTATAAAAACTTACCAGATAACAGTTAGTTACCCACATGTAACTTAAAATTATACAGCTATCTCAAATTACGAAAAACCAATACACATGTATTTTAATGTGTGTGGAGCAACTCATTTTGTTTCCCACAGGGTCAGACAAAATTACCTTTCATTTTTAAAAAGTTTAGGTCTGAAAATGTCCACCTCTTGACGAGTCAACGTAACCTGCACTGTCCCAATTCCGCCTTTTATGCTTGTAACTGCGCACTCAAACCCTTGCGTGCACTTTAAACAAATGCACACTTTGTAGAGGAGTGTAGGGGCAGTGTGGGTATTGGGATAGAGCCATAGTGTCAACATTTTTTACTAGCCAGAAATAATGTCTAATATTTGTTCTTTTAGTTTAGGGTTATATATTCTGCTCTCTAAAAGCAACCCTAATTATTATGCAACTCATTATACTAATTGAAGCAGATTAGAATTGTCCTTTTAGACACACATGTTACGTATATTGTCATTTGCATAAGACATTGTGTTGCATAATAAATTCCAGTTATTACATCTGTGCACATTTTTAGAAAACAAAATATTATATGTACGTAAAAAGAATTAAACATATGTTTGTAAATTAACATGCAACTAACACATGTTCATACATAATTCAGATAGAATGTTCCCTGGCAGATACAGTAAAGCCTGGTTGTGTTTGTCTGACATACGATAACGTTTATTGTAAAATCGATGTGTTTGAGAAAGAGACGCTTTCCTCTTGTTAACGATTATAAAGTATATCACGTTTCATAAAGTTCCCATCAGACATAGTCTCCCACACACTTGTTAACACATCATGCCTCCCTTTGACTTTGCACACGGCTTTTACTGTGGAAGTCAGGCAAAGTTTTGTAACGCTTAATATATTCAGCCTTCTTAATCCCTCATTTATTCATTTGTTCTTTGAAAACACGAGCGCTCCCTGTATGCTCCCGTCTGCTATTATTCAGGCAATTTGTATTTGTCTGTGTGTCTCTGCATCTTAAAAACATCAGAAGTAAACTGTCGCTTTGCCTCCTCTTGCATTTATCCAACACTAATGCTATTTTTTTTATTTACAAATGATAGGCTGCCATATCTGAGCCATGTTTCAATTGAGTATTATACCACTGATAATGTCTCTCTGCACTGCATATGGAAAGGAAAAAGCATGCATGAGAAAATGCTATGAACATCGAGTTGCATTGAAGGAGAACATTCTTTTACATTGGAAATAGCATGTAACTTTGATTTAAGAAAGTTGGGACCTTCTGTGGGTCAAGTTTTGCCACATCAGCTGTGAAATCTGGGCATGATAATCTGGGCACAAATGTCCTCAAATGCATGGCTTTGCTTATCCGCAGACAAAGTTGCATTGTGATTTTATTATTTTGATGCAAAAAAGACAGGGTGGGTGAATCCTCCTCATATAACGGATTCAGAAAAGCGAATTACCAAAGACTATAAGTAAAACCCTCATATAAGCTGCGCACTTATATGAGGATATAAATAAGTAAAACATGTTTGACTCGCGCTAAAACAGTGTTGTGTGTGTAAATGACAAGGGAGAACAACTATTACTTGGTCAAAAGCTGAAAAGCCAATTTTTAGGTCATGTCCGCTTCAGATTTTTATTTAACTTAAGAGACGCTCTTGACTGTTAAAAATGAAAAAAATAAATCGTGTAACTTTATTCAACTAAAATACAAAGTACATTTGTATAGAGGCAAGCCTTCTCACTGTAGGAAAAAATAAAACAAAACAAATTCATTTTTCAAGCACGATCAAAAACGATCCATTATAGTGGAATGTACATGCGTTTATATTTATCACAGAAGCAGTTTTGGGACAAAAGTACTTTACAAAAAATTCAGATTCTTAGATTAATCGCAATTTGGTCATGGAACAATCGAGAAGGATGTATAAACAATCAAATTCAGATTATTTAAATTTCCCAAGTAAAGCGGAACTGAAATACAGTTTGCACGGTCTTCAAAACGCTATAGGAACGGACCGAGGGTGCGCATCCACTGTACACTACTCCAGAAAAAATAAAACAGCATCAAGCATGGCTGAGCTAACCAACCCACCTCGTCTTGAGATTCCACCTGTCGCCTTGTACGCTTGTACACTCTCTCAAAGCGAGCACTCCGTTTACTCCAAGGCGTGCTCCCTGCTACGCCCCCTCACACGAACACACACGTTACCCAACTCCGACCAACGCAGGATCACCGCAATACTGCCCCTTGCGCTACCACCTGCAAGGGGTGTATATCACCCTCACGAGCCTGATATACGAGGAGGCTGAGGACTAGAGTTGTGTTTGCATATCGCATCGAACATTTCTATATAAAGTATATACACAGTTCCTGCGCCTGTCTTTGTAGAAACTGCACTTGCACATAGTTCATCGCGTCTGCACCTTGTTGCATTCATTCTGCAGTCTCAGATGTCACTTATCACTTATTGTTTTTCTGTTTGTGCATGAAATTAGTTATGAAACGATGAGTCTATAGAACTGTCATTGCAATATACATGCTTAAAAAATGCATCAATAATCACTTTATAATCTAATCGCAGCATCTGAATCGTAAGTGAGTTGCCCCAAGATTCCCATCCCGAGTCACCACCAGGACAGTTGAGACACTTTAAAGACAATTAAATAACAAGCGTAAAGTGTGCCCAGGTGGCAGAGGTGCAATACTAGGTGGACATTCTCTCATTAAGTTTGAAGCTGGGTTTGTGGCCTCTCTGATCTGACCAGAGCCGTGCGTTGTAGAATCTATGTGCTAATTTATTTCAAGTGCTTTTTTATCACAGTCATAAAAGAGTCTTGTCAATTCACTCTCAGCTGTTTGGTATACATTTTTCAAGGCCCAACCCATTCTATACGTTGTTATCCCCACCGCTCACCGATGCCTCTTGTGTGATTCTTTGCAGTACGCGACCTGGCTGGTGGTGTGGATGACCTGGAACGTCTTCATCATCTGCTTTTACCTGGAGGTTGGAGATCTGTCCCGGGTAAGGAGACCGAGGGCTTTTAGTTTTGCTTTTTACACCCCAGTCATGTCGCCGCTCCTCCAGCACAGTCAGCACAGTCAACACAGGCACATCACTCATACTTAGAGAGAGGCTTAATGTAGCAAGCGCAGCGAGGCACCCATTTAAATGCAACCAAAATCCCCTCAATTTATATGATAATGCTGGATTCATATCAGATTCACTGTTTTATTTCAAGCTATCAGAAAATACTGATTGTAGTCGAGTATCTAATACACATTGCATAGTCACGGTATAGATTTGACCAATGTTCAAGTGCTGTTTAGGGCTGCAGCTAGTGATTCTTTGGTTAATGTTTTTTATTTCCTATTATTCGGATAACTATCTTTTTTTTGAACGGTTTTAGGAACACGCACTGTTGACCATATGATCCCGTATCATCATTATTTTTCATAATTAATATTAAAAAATTAGTCCCTCTCCTTGGATTAACCACCGCCAGAAAATATTGATAATAGTCATACCTATGTTGAGGGGATTCAGCTGTCTATCATGGATTTGAATTCACTTTGTCCAATCAGGAAGCTGTGGGGGCGTGTCTAACCGGCACTTGCGTTTGACAAATGCCTCGCTACTCACTTTGTTTACCTTTTCTCTATGACCTGACACACTGCTGTGTTTTGCGTGGAAATACAGCAGGATGTTTAGAACACATGTTACCCTGCCACATCTGAAATGTTAATGAAGACTCAGCTCTACAGGCGCATTTTCATAATTGACGTAATTAATTACTTCGTTGGTTCGCTGCAGCCCTAATCCTTTTGTTCTGTGATGTCATAGGTAAAGCTGGAGAGCTATTTTTTTTACTTCCAATTAACGCTTGTTATGCTGTTCTGGGCATTTTTGCTGTCAAATCAAATTTCTTATAATTATGTGCTCCTATTTGCATAATAAGACAGGTTCAGTGGGGTTGGTTTTATCACGTTTTTCCCACCGAAGCCAGTAGATGGCAGTGCTGAAATCCAACATATTTTCCTTTTTTTCAAGGTCTTTCACAAGGAATGTCAAAATATAACGTCCATAATACTTGTTACCAATGACAAGATATGTTTAGGTTATATTTCATACCTTTTCTGTATCCACATCCAGCCACATTTCATATATGATATTATGCAAAATTTGAGCTTTTCACCATGTTTGAAGATCGTTCCGTGATCTATAACTTATCTAGAAGGCATCCAAGTTCATATAATTATACCTCCTTCCATGTCTTTCCTCGTACATCCTTGTCCTTTAAGATTGACCTTTTATGAGGCAGGGGAGCTGCAGGTTTTATCAAATGAAATTGAACACCTTTTAAAGATGTTCTTAATGCCACAAAGGTCTGAGTTAATGGTACAAAGGTCAATAAAGAAGACAAAGGAATAGAACAAGGAGGGATAAGGAGATTCTTTTCAGAATAGGGATGTTGCCCTTAAATAGGTAATCCTGTTTCAATACAACTACATTCTATTTGGATTACCCTACTTCTCAACAGCCATCATCTCGGAGGACATCCCAAATTTGTCAATTTGTCAACAGCAGATTTCATATTCCAACCATAAGAACTCATAAAATGAAACAATAAACACAGAAAATGCAATGTTCATAAAAGCCCCTCCCCCCACCATCTTGTATATGGGCATACATTTCATTTATTAAGTTCTACAGCATGAAATGTGAAAGCTAAGTGCCAGAATTATGTATATTTTGGTTCCCTAAAATGCCCAAAGATGTTAACTTTAACTTTAGCATGCTCTGTTACTTAAATAAATAAGTTCTGCAAGTTTTAGCATGCTCTGTTACTTAAATAAATAAGTTCTGCAAGTTCACCCAGTCCACACAGCTTGAAATGATAAAAAACTATATAATATATTGAAATCCCACATAGCTTTCATGGCAAAATGTGTGCTTGTAAAAGGAAGCAGTCTCCAACAGTGGATATTTTAGTACATATGGAGCGTTCGAGTTGTGCCCTAGATACACTTTATATAAATTGAAGTTGGAAAGCAATAAAAAAGTTCTAACAGGCAAAAGTTATTGCTTTGGTCCTAAGACATAATAGTGAATGCTTCATATATCTATGGCTTGTGTTCAAATCCCAATGCCCCTCTAAACCTAGAGATTATAATATTATCAACTCATTCCAGGGTTAAATTTGATACTGCCATGAAATATTATTAAAAGTCTGCATGCCCTAAATATTTACCAAAAAGAGACACGGCGCTGCAATAATTCCCAAATGCGGATAATCAACATGGACAATTAATTAGAACCAATCAGAGCGTTCATAAACAGAACAAATCAGTTGATGGAAATGTTGATTATTGCTGATTACAGGCTGTCGCATGGTGCTTCACTAAAAATAACAGTATGCATATTCACACACGTCCAAATTATTCATTGATGGTTATAAAAGAGCGAGCTAATCTCCTATCAAATTATTTGTGTGATGGTGTATTGAATATGCAGGGAAATGTGAAGGTGTTCAGTGCTTTACATGAAAGTAGTAACATAATATTTGTCATGTGATATCTAAAGTATACTAGGTATTAAACTGACATTTAAAGATTTATTTTCAAACTATTGTGAATAGAAAGCAGGAGTCTGAAGGAGGTCTGCTCTTTGTTTCCTTTATCATACCCATATCCTCTTTCTGTAACATTGGGCCTCATTCACGAATAACTTCGTAAGAAACTTCTCAAATTTCTTCTCAAGTTGTCCTTAAGTAGATTTCTAAGAAGTCCCTACGTGGGATTCATCAACGCACTCGTAAGCCGCTGAATTGTTCGCAGCTGTTCTCTCAGATTGATGAATCCCCTTTCCTCGTAAGTAGAGCGCGCGTGCCAGGTGCTTCATTAGCATAGGTACTTAGCATAAGTAACCGCCCATTAATGCCCATATAAGGGACTGCAGGGCCGTGTGCAGACGCCAGAGGAAACGGCAACAGGCCTAAAGCAAAGAGTTACACGGAGCAAAAGAGTCACCCTTTTTTCTTCTTTTGCCAGACTGAGAATAAAGTTATAAAATATTGACTTAAAAGTCGAAATATTATGATAATAAAGTCGAACTAGCAAAATTGTGAGATTAATCTAAGAATATGATGAGATTAATCTCAAAATGTTATGATCTTAATTTAAAAATATATTATGTATTATTTTAAAGATTAATCTCAAAATGTTTTGAGATGAATCTCAAAATATTTTGGACCCTGGGAGGAGATCCAGCGCGGACCAGCGCTGAGACCAATGCAGACCCGAGGAGAGACTGGAGTGACCAGCACACAGAAACCAGCGCGGACAGGAGAGACCGCATAGACTGAGAGACCTGACTGGAGAGACCGGTGCGCAGAGACCAGCGCGGACCGAAGAGAGACCGCATAGACCAGACTTGAGAGACCAGCGCGGACCCGTATGGATCCAGGAGCATGCAGCACGGACCCGTATGGAGAGACCAGTGCAGACCCGTCTAGAGCCATGGGAGAGACCAGTGCAGACCCGTCCATGGGAGAGACCAGTGCAGACCCGTATAGATCCATGGGAGAGACCAGTGCAGACCCGTATAGATCCATAGGAGAGACCAGCGCAGAGACTCAGCGCGGACCCAGTAACCTCCTGCAGCAGCAGTATATATGCCGTTGTTCTGTGGCCCGTGGATAAAGAAATGCCCCCTATAAATAGGAAGGGGTCACTAATACACGGCAAGATTTCCAATGTATTTGATAAAGCGTTGGCACATTTCATTTCAAAATGAATTAAAAAGTAGGCCAGATTTGCAGTGAAAAAGGCGGTATATAAATAAAGATTACTAATAAAGATTACTACAAATAAATAAATACATACATCGATATGACGGACATATCACTGGAATGTTGTATTTTTATTCAACTTCACCAAAGAGGACAACCCCAGCGTGTGAACATGTCGGCACTGAATGCGTACGAGTGCTCCTGAGGACTCGTAGGATTTGTACTTGCCCAAGAGAAATTCTGGTTACAAGAAAAATTCGTGAATGCCACTTTCTTCGTAAAAACCTCGTAAGTAGGATTTACGTACAAATCTGTTCCTAAGAACCGTTCGTGAATGAGGCCCAATGTTTGGCAGCTCCACAGAAGAGCGCCGGGTGTAGTATTTGCTGAACCTCTTTAGATCCACTGAGCACCCAGAACCTATTTTCTTTTATTGTTATAAATAATCTCGATCTATTTCAGCTCTTGTTTAATACCCCTGACTGGTTTAATCTTGGCTCTGAAAGTCCTCTCTGCTCCTTTCCCTCTGTAATGTCTTTTTTAAATTTTAGCAAAGATTATTGCCAAAATTATTGCCACAAGTCGAATATTCTGTAGTTATTTTAACCATAGTTATTAGGAAAACGTGTTGAAATTAATGTTCAAATTGTTCTCTTAAATTTGTTAAAATCATGGCAGAAATATAACTAGATACAAAATTGTTTCCCTCTCATAGTTTAAGTCTTTTGTAAACGCTGAACTTGAACACACCGTCTTCTAATCAGCTCATATTTAAACATATTTGAACCACTGCATAATTGTGAGGAAGCTGATTGGATGCTGCAGGGGCAATCCACCCTGCTGACCTCTGATATAGGAACGAATAAATACAATATTAACTATCTTACATACTTTAAAATTACATTTATTGTTGTATTTCCCTAAATCCCAACAGCAGTCGTTTTGTAAGCAGCAGGACTTTACAAAGAAGTCGATTCCTGAACAACAGATCAGAGAATCAAAGAGGAAATGCAATAATACAGTAACTGGGATGGGTTCTTTTTCACATACACATAGCTGGGTTGGTATAGGTGTTTTTTTTTTATTATTTTTTTTTTATTCAAAGCTCTCAGTAGAAAAACATTGGGAAGTGTACAACAAAACTTATTTACAGAGCACAGGGAAAAGGAGAAAAAGGATATTTACAACAAAAACATGCACAACTTTTACAATAACTCTCCTTTTCCTCAATTGCCACTATCGCTCTTCCAGTCCACGTTACCTTCTCTGTAACCAAGCCGCAACCGCCGTGGGGCAGACAAGCACATCTTAAATACCCCTGCTTTCCCCTCGCACATAA